GGGGGGGGGGGGGGGTGGTCTATCTGAAGATTAAGCTGTACAAACGTAAAACTTTGAAAAGATTGAAGGTTTGAAATTGTAAATAAGTTTTCATTCATTCTTTCTTGTTAAAGTCTAACACAACATTGTAATGATTTAAAATTTGGTTTGAACAGTAACATGATGTACATGTGCCAGAACTTATGGATTCTTCCATGGGTTCAGATAATTGGTACAATGCCATACAACCGTATAGTACCTTGTGGGTATGAAGGTTTGTTTGCTGATATCCTGATTGAGGAAAATTATAAGCAAAATTCAGCCATTGATTCACATGGGGCGCTAACTAATACTCAGGTAAATTAAGGCCTGGGCCTCCAGTTATTTCACCCAAAAAGTGGGGGGGGGGGTGGTCTATCTGAAGATTAAGCTGTACAAACGTAAAACTTTGAAAAGATTGAAGGTTTGAAATTGTAAATAAGTTTTCATTCATTCTTTCTTGTTAAAGTCTAACACAACATTGTAATGATTTAAAATTTGGTTTGAACAGTAACATGATGTACATGTGCTGCAATGACCACAATTAATTTCAAAAATCGATAATAATAATTTAAAAACAAAAACAATTATGTATTATAGATTGATCCAATATTCCTTTCAAATCATCTCCAGTTAAAATCACTAAATGCAGGATAGGTTAATTAAGCATGTGACTTTTGGTGTCTTATAAGATTTCGTTTCTCTGCAAAAGTCTTTTGACAATGATCACACTTGTTGCTGTCTTTATGTTTCTTGTCTTTATGCCTCTTTAGCTTTTGCTCATGGTCAAACGATTCATTGCATTCCTCGCAAATGCACTCATGACAACCTTTCTGGTGGTATTTGAAGTCCTTCTCCCTTGTGAACTGGGTGCTGCAGGTTGGACATTTTTTTATCTCTGCTATTCCCATATCAAGGTCTTCCCTCAAGCTCTGTGCTTTATCTTTCCAGTCCTATGAAGATCATAGCATGATATTTTAAAAGGGGGGAAATATATTAGGGAACAATCGTGTATTTTTGATCCCCCCTATTTTTTATATAAACTAGATTGCAAAGACAGTTTTGTTCACCCTCTATCATAATTTTTTGAGGATAATACCCCCTTGCCTCCCCCCCTTTCCTCAAAACCTGGATCCGCCACATGTAGGTTATTTCTAATTAAAATTTAGGTTAAATTAATTGGTACATTATAATGGGCCTTGCTATCCCCAAGGTATATTTAAGAGTTCTGTCTGGAAAAATAACAAGTCTGAACATTATATTACAAAATTGACATTGAGCTTGAGGTCCCAGCTTGATTCAAGATCAACATTCATAACCTAAAATACTTTTAATTGGAAAGTTTGACGAGAACATTTACACTCTCGGTCCTTACAAAGTTAGCCACGTAAACCACACAGCAGTCCACTGAAATGGGGCAGGGTTAATACACAAACATTCACAATGTTAGAAGTTTATAACTAACCTTTCGTCTGTCTGTCGGCAATTTCTTCCACATATTGCCAACCACTTTGGAAACCTGCCCGATTCCCGCCCCCTTTCCAAGTTGTTCCTTGACATCTGGCTGTGGAATGATACAAAGTACGAGGAAACTATATCAGCTTATATCGAATGTAATTTCAAGGCCTACAAGAATAATGAATACAAGTGCAACACTTACAGATAAGATATTTGTTAATGACATAAACGAAAATTTTAGATGCGGTTTATTTTTCACTGATATTTCTGATCACTTAATCTTAATCACTTGTAATCGGATGTAAAGGATGTAAGGGAAACAACATGTTTTAGACTATTTGAACAAGCACTTTATCCAGGCTGAAAATGATTGAATATTTCGGGAAATACAAAACAAACTCACCGCAACTGACTGCATAAAGGAGTTCCACCCCGTTGGCTTCTTAACTGATTTTTTTTTTGTTTCTGCACAAGAAGAATGGGTTCGTTCTGTTTCAGCTGGCTCAACTCTCGCGCACGTGGATTGCTCCGCCATCTTATAAGCAACACTGCCCGGAAGTGACGTCCGAGCGTGCCAACAGCGTACGAGCTATTCACAAGGGCTGTTGTCTGCTCGGCTAGTTTGAGAAATGGCATCGACCGTTTCAAATGGCAACGACCGTTTACGAAAGGGAAATTTGCAGCGGCGACAAAAGCGATTGAGAAGGGTGCTGAGCAAATCGGTGATAAGATGGGGCAATTAGTCGGTGAAACGGTCTATGATAAATTTTCAAAACGACCGCAAGTCACACCGCAAGTCACACCGCAAGTCACACCGCAAGTAACGCCAGTCACGGATGCGACAGAGAAAAACAAAGGAGATAAGCTTGTAAAGCTGCTCCAACAAGATAAATCGTGGAGAACCCAAGCGCCGGCAAGTACGTCTACTGCAGGTAGTACCCAAGGTACTGCTAGCAGTAAAGGTACTAAGCGTAAAACTAAAAAAGAACCCTCAGAAGTGTCTAGTCTCTTTGATAAACTTTTTTTGCAATAAAAAAGTCTTGACTCTCAACAAGAACATCCCTCAACAAATAGTAACATGTCTCAGATGAGAACCACAAAATACGCCAAGGCGTATGAATATTATTCATACGAACTCGATACACCGCTGCAAGCAGCACCGGCCAACAACAACAATCAAACCAAAACGGGCTACAAATTCACTGTAGACACCTCTTCAGCCTCTGAATCTGCCCCCGACTGGTACAACGCCTTCTTAGAAATAGATCTCAAGATCAACAAAAAAGCAAATGGCGCAAACTACGCTGTTACAGATGCTGCAGCTATTATCAACGGAGGTTTTAGTGTAATCCAAGATGTCAAAATCTCTTTTGATGGCACTCGAGTCCTCGATCTCCCTGCAGCCAACCACGCTGTAAATATAAAGAATCTCACAGAGATGTCTGATGAGCATGCGAAGAAGGTAGGCCCTCGACAGTTTTTCTACAAGGATACAGCCACCGGTGCAGTGATCCAGAAGTATGCAACACTCAATCTTGATGGAAACGCGCAAAACATTGCACCAACTGACAACGCGAATTATAGCGAAGGTTTTACCAAACGACAAATTCTTCTCGCTTCAGGTAATGAGAATAATATCCACCTACCACTCAACCGTTTTGGTTTCTTCGAGTCCATGGAGGAAGAATTAGCCCCCAATGGACGGGTCTCAATCGAGGTCAGGCTCGAAAGCGATGATAACGTCTTGTTCCGATCAAACGCGGCAGCTGAAGGGCGTTACATCATAACTAAGCTCAGATTATGGGTGCCTATCATCAAATTCAACGCTCAAGGTCTCAAGAAGTACCTCGAGGAGTATCTCAAACCCCACACATGGAGCTACTTGCGTGAGGAGATCGTTGCATCTGACCCGCTTCGACAAGCAAGCGGCACATTCAGAATAACAAACGCTGTGAAACAACCAAGACACGTGTTTGTGTGGATTGTCAACGCAAACAAGTTCTCAGACCAGGAGCAGAATCCCCTTCTTTTCAACACATACAACATCGCAGATCAAAAATACCTCACCAAAGCTCAACTCAGAGTTCAGAACGGAGAGCGTTATCCGGATCAACAACTTGACCCAAACAGTGAGAAAACACGCGCTTGGCTAGCCCTGCAAGGATACTCAAAGTTTGCAACCAGCTCACAACTCTTTGGCCCCGCCATCGATCTGAAACAGTTTCAAGATCGGTACGGTATTCTCTACTTTGATCTCACAAAACAGACACCCGAGCTACTGACAAGAACGACAGGCTTGGAATTCGAGTACTCACTCGACGGTGCCACCAACGCCGACTACTACATCTATGCCCTTGTTTTGAACAATGAAGAAGTCAGTATAGAAACTATGTCTGGAAAGGCTGTCATTAGGACTTAGATCAGACCACAGATCTGTTGTCGCCTTTTTTTTCGAATTTATTATATGTTTCATAAAATAAAGCATTATGACGACATACTACCCTTACGGAGTTGCGCTCTCAGAGGGACAGAGAAAGAAGCTTGCTAAAGCTTACGCTTCACACTCGGCTATCACTCTTCGCCTCTCACACAATGAACTGAGTGGTCCCGACGAGATGATGCTGACAAAGACTCAATTAAATCGAATTAAAAAAGCTGCAGCCGGGGGAAAGGGAGTAGACCTCAAGATAAGCAAAACTCAGATTAGAAAGGTTGCGCAGCAAGGTGGCAGCCTCTTCTCATCACTTTTAGCGCTAGGCTCGAAAGTTCTACCTAAAGTGATACCAACTGTAACGAAATTCGCCACAAAGGCTCTACCCGGACTTGCAACAGGAGCACTCACAAGTGTAGGTAATTTTGTCACAGACAAAGTCTTAGGTGCAGGTCTCGTACCAAACGATAAAATTCAACAACTCATCGCGTACAAACATCTTCTGACAGATAAACAGAAGAGGGACATCATCACCGCGCTTCAATCTGGTGGTGATTTGAAAATAAAGCTAACTAAGAGACAGCAATCAGGTGGTTTTCTCGGCACACTTCTCGCCAGCATCGGAATACCGCTAGTTCTCAAGGCGTTGACCGGAAGCGGCCACTCAAAGAAAGGGAGGGGTTTGCAAAACAGACGACCTGGAGGTAAAAACGGCGGTGCTTTGCAAAACAGACCGTATTGGGAAGGAGGGCCACAACCATCACCGTGGTTTCCATCGCAGTTTGATGGACCTGTAACTGTAGGCCGCGGACGGGGCCAAAAAAAACAAAAAGGAGAGGGCCTGTTGCTGGGCGAGAACTCACCCTTGAAAGGAATACCAATCCTAGAAGAGATCTTCTGAAACCTCCCTTTGAAAACAGACCGATAACAAACCTCAATATCGATAGGTGGGTCGCTTACCTCAAAATTCCAAACTTTGGCGGTGTTATCTCGAGAGATCACATAAAAGATTGTAAACCGAAGCGATGTTATGTGATAAATCTTAACGAGTCACACGAAAGCGGCTCCCACTGGGTGGCAATGTTTTTTGGTTCTGGTCTCATCTTATATTTTGACTCGTTCGGATTACACCCGCCTGAGGAGGTAGTAACGCTTTCTAAGACTAAAGACATACAATATGCATACAACAACGTGCAATATCAGGCAATGTTAAGTGTGTTGTGTGGGTATTCTTGCCTGTGGTTTTTGAACGAGGTAACCCGCAGGGTGGCTACTCCGGGCGAGCGCTCTGTGTTTACCATCTTTGAGGATGTGGTAAAACCTCTGTCTCACAGTAACACCTCGTTAAACGAGCGCTTTATCATTAAGTACTTCACCTGAGGTGAATACATAAAAATCTCTTCAAATTATCTGAAGAGATTACAAAACAGACAAGATGGGTTTCTCAGACGGATATCACGAAGTCGATCATCGTCAAGAAGGTGCATCGAAAGAAGGCCCTGAAGGACCACCAGGTCCTAAAGGCGACGCTGGCCCAACAGGACCGCAAGGTCCGCAAGGTCCAAAAGGCGACACCGGCCCTGCCGGCGCACAAGGCCCGAGAGGTGTAAAGGGAGACAAAGGCGACAAAGGCGACACCGGCACTGCCGGTGTGCGAGGTCCGCAAGGTTCTAAAGGGTGACGCTGGTCCGCAAGGTGCAAAAGGTGACGCTGGTCCGCAAGGTACAAAAGGTGACGCTGGTCCGCAAGGTACAAAAGGTGACGCTGGTCCGCAAGGTACAAAAGGTGACGCTGGTCCACAAGGTCCTAAAGGCGACGCTGGCTCGCAAGGTGCAAAAGGTGACAAAGGTGACAAAGGCGACAAAGGTGACAAAGGCAACAGAGGCTCGCAAGGGCTGCAAGGACCTGCTGGAGCGAGAGGGTCTACAGGACCAAGAGGTTTACAAGGAGTGAAAGGTGACAAAGGTGACAAAGGCGATAGAGGCTCGCAAGGGCCTCAAGGACCTGCCGGCCCCGCCGGGCCTCAGGGGTCGGCTTCAAACATCGATCTAACAAATTTGAAGAAGAAAATAACTTTCACCTCAAGTCATGGCGCTGATCGCCAGGTTACCGGCCTAAGCGATCAACCGCTCAATGGTACAGCTGCAATAAATCTGAACAAACTCAACACCGAGCTCGCAAAGAAAGCCGATTCTTCGACGGTGGTTAACGGTTTGAGTGGCAAAGCAGATACTTCTAGTGTTATGCTCTTGGATGGTACACAAAAGATGACAGCTAACCTCGATATGAATGGTAAAGATGTCATCAACACCAAACGCGAAAACTATCTAGGCATGACGACAAGTCAACAAGCAACATACGAGAATTCAAACACTCTCGTCTCGAGATACGAAGCAGGTTCGATTAAGAGACATCTCCAAGGTCTTCTCGATATTACTAGCCTCAGCAGCGCTACACAAGTTTACGTTGACAACTTGAAAAAGACAGTGCCAAGCTTTC